CTACCCTTTAGTTGGGAGAATGAAAAGCGGCGAATACTCCAGCTGGTGAATTTTTATTATGGGTTCATAAAATAATGAACAAAAAGTAGAGAAAAAAAATTGTTGCCATCATATTTACCAGCAGCCACTTTTCATTCTCCCGACTATTGCTAATTAACATTTGTTAAATCTTTCTTTGGTTTTTTTTTATAGTTWAGATAAATATCAGAGATTTTTTAATATCATTCCATTTGGGATGTAAAGAATCTAAATTCAAAATTGTACTTTGTATATTATTAGGGTTTTCCTAATAAAGCATATGATTTATGCACCTTCCAGCTTAGTGGAATCTTTATAACATCTATAAAATAAAAAAATTATCTATTTAATATCAATATTGTATGCTTTCAGTGTAACAYAGTTTACACTTCTTGTAGCCTATGACAATGTTTAACTGTATGGACTAATTTTGATTTTTGTATCAAAGAACTGATAAGGAAGTTATAATTTCATAAATTAAGTAAAATTAATTATACCTAAAAATAAATATTTTTGTTTTATGCATAATCAGCCTTTTTTTGAAAACAAATTGACAAAAACCTTCATTTGAATTTAACACTTAAAAGTATTCATTTAATTTTGATAACAATTAATAAAACTATATTTTAATTTTTTTTAGCTAACAATGAAGCTTTAGAAATGCAAAGTCCTCAGCAATTGACTTTCTTAAAGTCACGACTAGTCTTGCCGGTGACAACCTATAGTAAATCTACAACTAGACATATTACAATAGTTAACAATGGACTTCCAACATCTCAGTCAGGTAATAATAATTATAATTTATTAAAAATATAWACACAATATCATTATTCAATACTTACTGGCAAAAAGACACTCTTAATTTCAGATTTTAAGAAGATCTTAATACAATATTTGATTTCTCTCTCAAGCCCATGTGAAATATACACAAATTCCATTTTTTAGTAATCTTTGTTACTGATAGATAATCATTACAAAAATTATAAATAATAATATTTCCAATGGCCTGACATATAACTTAGTTTATTTACTGTAACAAAACAGTTAATATATATTTAAATTTACAATAAAAAAACAATGTTTTTCTAAGGTAAAATAAAAAGCTGGTACATTGTATTAAAAATATTATCGCTAAGTTTTGGTAGGGTGAATGCAAAAATGATGTTATCATGATCGGTGTATAAATTTATTGATACTAATACTATTTTTATTTTGAAAGTAATTGTTGCGAGGGATATTTCAATATAGTCCACAGCATTGTACTAATATTTTCAGGCTGTTATCACATAATATATTTCTTTTCCCAAAAGAATGTCACATTGTTAGAAAGCGACGTCTTTTAATCTTTTTTTTTCTGATAACATTGGTTTTAAATTTGTGAACAGGTAAACCTCTCTATAGTGGACCCTCTATTAAACGGAATCCTCCTTATAACGGAAAATATCAACAATCCCAGTGCAAATAATATAAGTAATTTCTTCTTCTCTATGACGGAAAACTCTGTWTAACGGAAAAATGTTTGGTCCCATGCGATTASRTCATAGAGAGGTTTTACTGTAACTATACAAGCTAAACATAACTTATATGATGCATACATAAATATTCAATTGCTTTYATCATATCTGGGACTTGCCTTGTTCTTATCAACCATAGGTTAACCGCGTTAATGATAATATATTGGGGGCAARAGTTAAATTGTAATATGGGGTATTTCAATGTTTTTATCGAGTGTTCTGAATTCAATAACAATAATTATAATGTTGCTTTGGTTATTAAGTTGTAAATGGTTAAATTTTGTTTTATAAAGAAATAAAAAAATTATTACTAAATAATTAAAATGGTAACTGTTCATCAATTATTCGAGTTGTACTCTGACTTTCAAAGCGAGTTTAGAAATTACWAAACAACATTTTTTATTRCTTTTATATGAGCCATTGTTACACATTAAAAATATCTCGTGGAAAACATCCGATGAAAATGGAATATACTCCAAATGGTTTAAAATATTATTTTCTTAAGTTAATCTGCATTCATGGTGGTAGTTTCAATAAAAGTAAAAAATGTGAATATGTAATTGTTACTATAAAATATAAATAATATTATTGTCAATCTGGTCGTTTGCCTACTATCAGTCCAACCATGATTCATCTCCTGCTATAATCCTGACCATAGTAGGATGTATATCTGCAGTTTAAAATGATTTTTGCATCAAACTTTATAATTTTTATAACCGGTGATTTGAGATTTAATTTAAAAATCAAAAATTTTAAATGAAAGCATTTTATCTTCTTGCGCATGGTTCTGTAAATGAAAAGAAATATTGCGCCGATATCTTCTTAACTTACATCAAATAAATTTTTTAACATTAAACTAATATTCTTTGGAATTAGTAATTAATTATTTGATAACACAATTTTTTTTACAGGAAGCACAACTAAAACCAACTTAAATTTTATTGCCTTTCCTCCGCCAATCAAGGAGTCTTTGTTGCCACAAGCTCCTGTTATTGTGCAAGCTTTAGATCAGACATTTGATGCGTAAGTAACCATAGTCTTAATTAATAAATTGATTGAATTAAACTATTTTCCTTGTCATTGTTTCTGATTCTAGTTCTAAACTGAATCATGCATTAAATATTGATAAAGCAGCTAACCATCATAAACAAGTAGAAAATAATGAACTACATGAGGATATATCTCAAAATAACCCTACTCAAGGCATAGAAATAGAATCTGGAGAATTTGGAGTTCAAGATATTCATGAAGAAATTATTGACGACACTCAAAAGACAACAGGAGAAAATATAGAACAGGTTAGTAGTCTATATTTCATTAAGGCACCCAAATCCTTAGTGCTCTAGGTAGTACCTTGGTTTAACCCTCTTGGTAAACTTTTAAATGCCCCTCCACACGTATCTAACCATACTATCCATTCAGATCTAAAAATTCCACTTGTTCAAAATGAGGCTAAATCCTATTACTATCGATTCCATCTAYGTTTACCATCTCATCCCAATCCGCTTGCAAAAATCTTTCTACTCCAACAATTCCAGGTAACCTTCATGGAAGACTAAAACGTAAATGGTGTCGTGATTTACCAATTTAAATTTAAAAAATTAAAAAATTAAATTTCATTTAAAAATAAAAAAAATTAATAGGTATGCTATATAAATGAATAAAATTGCATTATTCGAACTATCAAAAAGTTTTTAAATATTACTTAACTATTTATAACCAGAGAGCAATTTTTTTAAGTGAGCTAAATATTTTGTATAACAATGTAATTAAACATTTTTCAAACTAAAAGTTTTGGCCCAACATTTTTGTTGTTTTATTTTCTGACTTATGAGACTTTTACTTAATTATAATTAATATTAAGTGATCGTTTACATTTTAGGTGTAATAAGTCCTAAGTCTAATTTTGAATTTATTATTAACAAAATGCATTCTATATCATATGTCCTTATCGTATATCTAATAAATTTCTTATCTGTTTTTTTATTTTGTCGCCAATCAACACAATTTATATGATTACAAAAATTATCTTATTATGATAGTCATTCTTATAATTAGGTATCAACTCTAGAACTTACTATAGTGCTCTGTGCTATTAATAATCACTTATCAATTGATCTATTTTTGTCATATTTATTGTATATTTTATAATATTAGCAATTAAGATCACATTAATTGTCGAGCTATTAGTTTTATACTAAGAGATAATTAAAAAAAAAAAAAAAGGTTACATTACCGCACATATTTATATGATTTTACTTCTGTAAAATTCTTTCACTGATTATAGTGTTGACCATGTTCTGTTTCCTAGTAAATATCTAATTAGCTTTACAATATTGTTATTTTTTGGTCCTAAGAGGAAATTAAATTAGACTATAAGGTTAGGATTAGAGTGCATCCTTAAATATTATCATCAATCATTTCTCCCTACATTTGCATTTGCTTACCTTTCCCAACATACTAAATTGTGTGAAGTTCTCTGGTCGCYGTAGTCCATAAATGGTTTTTTACATCTTTCATAAGTCAAATTGTATCATAATTAGTTCCCTTAATGTAGGGAATTTCTTCAAAGCCTTTTTAATTTTTTWGTTGCATTTTAAATACTCTTTTCCTTTCCTTTTTTACTGTATTCCTCATTAGTATTATATTTGTTATATTATATGCTTATTACCATACACCTCTTTAATTCATTGTATTCTACATTTTGTTTGTTTAGTCATCTAAGAACTTCAAATCTGAAGAATCTTCTGAAAATGGAAATCAACAAGTTGTTGGTGAAGAAATTGAAGAGGAAGAAGAGGTAGTTGAAGATAACAATTTTGAAGAAYCCAAAGAACCGGATACTAATTATTCTGACAATTTTCAAGAACCACAACCTAAGCGTGCCAAATTAAATTATTATCAACAAGAAATAAATGGCGTCCCTTAAAAGTAAATTATATATTATTAAAAGTTTAAACATGTTATTGTTATATTTAAATAAGTCTTATCTTAAGACATTTTTTTCTGTACATAAATTATGTATAAATATTAAGTGGGCTACAAAATTATTGTTATTGTAATACATTGTTCTCTTTAATTAATTATGAATTATCTAACTTAAATCAAACTAGATATTTTTTTCTGTCAAAATATTTAGTTATTTTATAAATTAAGTAATATATTTTTATTTTTTGCTTGTGCAGAATTGTAGGCAGTTTATTATTATGTTATAAGATACCATACTACATTAATAACAAAGTGTAATTGTAAGAATATTGTATTTTTGCTAAACATTTTTTTATGACTGTACTAGCTATTATAATAATTATTATTAATAGACAATTTATCATTGCAATTATAAAAAAATCCAAGTAAACAAGGTAGCCCTAAATTTGAMTTTATGACCGTCATTATTATTTTATCCTATGTCTCATTATGTTCCTTGTACATAACCGTAATAACATATCTATTGTAAAAAATAATTTAATTCCAATTAATCGACAATTCATTTTTGGTTGATAGAGAATCTATTTCGTTTAAAAGTGCAATTACATTTAATCTTTCTATATATTTTTTTTGTTATTATTTTTTGTTGATTATAAATGTTATCAAATTAAAATAAATTGCCATAATTTTTATCTGTATGTGGACAAAAGCTTTTTTTCGGGTTTTTAATTGTTTGAGAATTTTGATGTTATAAAGTTAAAATAAATATGTGATTGGACATTTTATATTATACAAAAAATATAATATAATTATTTTTATAAATTAAGTTTTTGTCTACTTAATAAAAAGTGTTACCATTTGTGTTTAGAAAGATTTAGTTTACATTGGTATTAAAATTATATAAAATAAAATTTAAATTGTAATCAATTTGTTGGTTTTAAACAAACAAAATTATCATGTTGGATTTTTAAACATCTTGTACATTTTTCTTGTTTATTTATACATTATAAATATTTCAAAAGTATTTTTCAATTGGCGAATAATTATTTTTTCATTAAATTCTTGACTAAAAAATATTAAAAATATTCACAAATGCAAATGTTTGTTTATAAATATTGTATTGTTGTCTTGAGTGTCATTATTCAATGGATRTGCATGGGACCCAGCTCTACCATGTTTATGTGTTCCCTGTCTCTAGTTGTATCAACCTAAGCAGATCCGACCAGCACAAATTTTTTTTTTTAAAGATTGTAATAAACRTGATGTTGTTAGTAGTATTTATATATTATATCATATAATAGATTCAAATTGTATTAAGGAATTAAAATAGTCAACGCAATACTTTTTTAGCACACTTGTAAGTGTAATATAAGATTACTATTTACTTATTTTGTTGAGAAATTAAATTTATAAATTATTTTATTTGAGTGTTTTTAATGAAAAAAAAAAAATAAATATTTTTCCCTTCATTTGTCAAAGTACGAGTTACATATTTCAAGTATCCTAATCGTGACCCTATTGATGTGCATTATGCCATTGCGTATAGAGTCAGTGCACGGAGTTTTGTCGTGACGTATAATGATAATAATATGTTATCATCACGGTTTAAGATATATAATAATATATATATATCTTAAACCGGGGTTATCATCGTCTCATCTCTCATCGTATTACGCACGAAATGCGCGTATGAGAAAATAACAAAACATAAAACTGGAAATCGATTCATTGTAAAAAACCGGAACAAAACATTGTTGATTATGATGGCATGGTACTTAAATACAGTAGTGACGGTACCAACTACCAGCTGCTGCAGCTGGTGTGTAATGTGTATATTGT